CAGGGTAGCAGAGTGGGGCATGCAAATTGAGGAAATGTTTTGGTAATGTGGACAGCCTCACCGCCGTTTCCCAATGATTATCACACTCAACTTTCTACGGACTGACCTGAGTCTATCAACCTTGATATATATTTTCTGTTCCTTGGGAAGTTCCATGTAAACCGAACCGACCGAATCCCAACCAGAGCACAAGGCGCTAGCGCTATATATAGCTGTACATCTCAAATTGTGACGTAACGCTAAAATGGTTTATTCCTAATTGAAATTTAACCTATAACTTCTTCTTCTTCTGTTGGTTTACTGGCTTATATCCAAATGTGGAACCTACAGACATCTATAGACGAAATTTCATATAGAGGATAATAGGAGAACTGGAGGGATAAGAAAATATTTAATGTGCAAGATAGATTATTTGCTAAGACCGTCACCATGTTCACACCCAGAGATCCCTCTAGGCGACTAACTAACCTATAGTTTTACTTCAGAATTTTTCATGGAACTTCGAAACTACATATCTCCCTTAATTTTGAGCTTTTAGGGTCGAACTTACGTCAAAATGTAATAGCTCAGGGACTATACAACAAACATAAAAAAACACAGAAAGAACACTAAGTCACAATCCGAGCGCGCCTCGAAGGGCTGCCGGATTGAGCCTCCGAGGCTCTATCGGAGAGGGTTTGACTAGGAAAAAGAAAAGGAACAGAACACGATTTGGGTTGACTTGGAATGGCCCGCCGGCCACCCCTTGCACACTTAGTCACATCAAACGCAAAAAACTAACCTCCGGAAGGGAAGAAAACTTAGGAAATACTCACATTTTCTCAAAACTAAAAGCTAGTGACGCGGTCTCGACAATGGAAAAATCTTAGACTGAGAACTCCCACCTACCAGGTGCCGCCCACTCCCCTCCACCAGGGGCGCTGCTCTGGCGAGAGACGATTGGACGAAATCTGACGGGCGGGAAATTCGAATGATAATTTATCTGGCCTGCTACAAAAATGTCCAAATTCTCTTTGGCTATGCAGTGGGCATCAGTACCTCAATTTTTAATTTTGGAATGATATGGGCTCCTCTTACAGATCCTGTCAGGTATATGTATATTGTGCAACGCTTTATTGCATCTGATCACCAGATGATTGTGCCAACGGAGGTCTTTATCCCTGAGTTATATCAACTGTCGATACTGTGCCTCAGAAAATAAAAAAGGATCAAACGAAGCAGTTTTTTCAACCGGAAAACTTCAAGGTATTACCATTTTTCAATGGTAGAAAATGTGAACTTTGCGACTCTAGATTGTCAAAACTAGCTTCAAACTCGAGTTGAAACTTCCACTGGACGATCATCTCATCATAAGATCTCGCACATGGAATATATTTGAATACAATTTCAGAGTTCCCGAAAAGGGGCATTTTTTTGCAGTTTCTTTCTCCTTCTTTCAGTCCATGAAATCACGTAATTTACACTCTACTCATAAAATTGTAGCTGTAATCTAAATTTATAATTATATTTGTAACACCTTTTTAAGAACATTACAAAATGTGTTGATATCCGTTTGAAATGTTTCGCAGGATATTCTCTCACAGACACATTAAGCATTTTTTTAATTCTCTATTCATAGCATCGTCCTGCCTCTCTGCTAGTGCGCTGCATTCTTTACACCGAAGAGCATAATTTATAATTGACTATCGTGTTGGACCTATGCTTTTTTTATTGGTTAATTTAGTTAAGGATACATCTCTTTTTTATAATATTTGAGACATAGTAAAAAGAATCAATTTACACTCTGTTTCCTGCCCATCAAGCGCCAAGATCAGACTTTATTTTATAAGCATTTGTATCTTCCACAGCCAGAACTGCGCAAAACTTCACCCTCCATTTCTGTTGCGCCATTTAATGTGTATGAGCTCTTTTGATAGAACTGAGAACAGTATTAACAATTTTTTCTAAATTTCCAAATCTTTGTAGATTTTGAGCAATTACACAAAGAACTGGAAACCTTGTTGTGAGAAAAATGCATTTAAAATTTTGTATATAATGTACTACGCCGACTGTGCTATGCACGTACCCAATTTTTGCGCTTTTGGGTGACCCAACCCTTTTATTGAAGAATGCAAGGTAGTTATTTCGATACTCCTTCGGTTTTCACTGAAATATCCTTCATTTAAAAAAGCACTGTATAGGCCGTTATTACGCCCAACAATAATTTTCATTAAAGTAAAAATCATCATTATCTCGTAAGATTGACGCAAAATAGAACTATACTGATGCTGACTAACCAAAATAATGCTAATGTTATGTTAAAATGTAACAACTGCACCCTTTTTTGGGAAATTGGTAGGTAGTCAGAAAAACCAAAGTCATTTCTGGCTTCAGCAGCGAATAGTAAGTCGTGTTGCCTCTATTGGCAATGACTGCAAACGGAATATAAAGTTACCAAGTTGAAATGCGCATGAATGGTACTTACGCGTATAGGCTCTTTTTCCACTCACCGCTCCAGAGGCCTGACGTAACTCTGAAAAAAGGGGTATTTCTACCTCCAGCCTTTACCCATGAATGTTCTACCTTTACCACGGTAAAGTCCAGGGTACGGAGAATGCAAAAAATCAATAATGGGAGGAATAATGACTTAAATGCGTAAAGGCTCTCATTAGTGTGGTGTCATCAATTGTGTCCTTAGGTAAAATATGTTCTACCGGTGGACAAATGAAATCTCTTTGGTACTTGTTGGATTATCCCAGGAAATTCAAGGATTATATCTCTAGGAGGATAAAAGGAGCTGTACAGAAGCCGCTGAAAAACCCCTCTAAAACTTTTCCTTATAAATACCGTTGGACTTCGAATATTTGGAAGCTTAGATAGGTCTTATAAGAACGTGTCCTCAGCAGAAAATTACACGGTTCGTTTTAGGGCACACCGCATTATGTATAGCATCTGCATTGATTTTGAACATGTATGAACCTGAAAATCACGGCACTTAAGTTTGAAGTAAACCCGTGTCTACATATGTAATTAGTCCAGAATGTATTTAGTTTATTTTAAGTCAGATTTATGACTGCAGACCAACTTCGTCAGAGAAGAGCCGGCCTGCAAATCTTCTAAACGGAATGTTTTCCAGTAGAAGTAGATTGAACTTAAATGTGTTACTCTTTTTATCATCCTCAACCAAAGTCTTCATGGATTCTCAAAGGACTTGCTGTGCTCTCTAAAGCTCTGCAACACCTAATCGCCACAGTGCCCTGTCCTCCCACAACACTTCAGAAATTCGGCTCTCCGTCATTCAATTTATAACTTCCAGTCGTCATCCATTCACTAGCCTCCCAGGAGGAACCTATTCAGCTTTCTTGGGCAGTCACTCTTCTCTCTTCCGTCATCTTGATAATATGACCGACACAGTCAAGCTGGTGGTCATGATGTTGAATACTCGTCATTTTCAACTTCCACGATTTGACGCATTTTCTCTACGGACTCTCCTCTAGAAATTTCTGCCAACCTCTTCAAGAAATCCATCTCCGGTACTCGTTGCCTATTTTGTGTCCGTTTTTTCAGCTGCCTAACTTCCCATACATCTTTTAAAATACTTTTAACTACAACGATGTGAATTCTCTTGTTCTCTTTCGAAATCTGCCGACCCTAGAAGATTTTATCTTACAACGTTTTAGTTATCCTTTCATCATTCCGTGATTTTTTCTTTAATAGCTTCATCTGTCTTTCCATCCTGGGTCCATTGGGCAACCAAGTACTTATCATATCTGCGCAGCCTGTGATCTGCTGCCCATATGCTAATTCGATACTTTCCTGAGCACCTCTCAGAGTCATTCTCATATTTTGACATACTAACTTCCAAACCCCACTTTCTGCACCCCTCTTTCAACTCGCCCATCATGTACTCAGCGTCATCGTGATCATGTGCTATCACCACTCGATCATCAGCGAAACCCAGAATCACCCAAGGGGACACCCTTCCTAGCATGTTTTTTCCCCATTCCTCACTCTTTTTGCATGCACTCGAGGCATGCTTTAAAGAGTGTAAGCAACAAACAACATCCCTGTTTTAAACTCTTAGTCACATAAAATCTTGCCGACAAACTCCCACACACTTACATTGCTTGATAAATAAATTTGGTTTTCCTCTGCAACTATATTTCCTTCTAGAAACCTGCACTGAAGCCCTCACTTGCATATTTTTGCTCGATGTAGAAGGCTAGTCCATATTGTTTCATGACAGTGTTTAATCTAATTTTTGCTAATATTAAGATAAGAAGGTGTAGAGAACACCCTATGGAATCACTAAGCGTCTAGCAGGGCCTATAGGCCCATAATCGACATTATGTGTCTGTTTGGCAGAGGAAATGAGACTAAGATGGATTAGAGCAATCTTATTGATCGGCTATGTTGATCAGATGACTGGCAACCGAATCGTGAGCCCTTTTTCGACTGAATAGTGATCAGCTGAGGGCTCTGCTCTCTGCCTTGCCAGCTGACAACCAGCAGATTATTTAGCGCGGCAAGGAGCTTGAGATGTAGTTTCCGGTTGTCAGATTGTCATAGCTAACCCATCATTAGTTTTATGCCATCTTTTTCTAGTCTTGTCCCCAAGCACACTTAATTTCAATCGTTGGCGGGTTAGAATTTTTAGGATGATGAAGAGGTTATTGTATTAAAGTTTCCTTAAAAGAAATCTTCTCTGAGGTTTGTGGTCTCCCTCCTCTGGAAGGTCCCGGCTAAATCAATGCATCCCATTCTCAATATGTAGAATAACCCCTTAGCAACAATCATACAATCAATCAAAATGTGTTCTTCACTTAATCCAATTTAGTTGTATTCTTATTTTAAGATAACCTAGCATAAAAACTAATTCAGTTTGTGTTTATTGTCACATTTTACCATATGTCAATTTTAAGTTTTCTTTGTTTACTTTCATTGTAATTTAGTTTTCTTTTCATTTTTATTATTTTTGAAGTTGTGTATTTTATGTATTTTCGTTTTTGTTTGATCATAAGGTCTCCATCTCCAGAGCCTATTTACAGCAGTGATGGCAAGCGGATGAACACGCGTGAGTACCGTACAAGGAAACGTTTGGAAGAGGAGCGACACACCCTGATTGGGAAAATGCAAAAAATCAATCCTGATTTTAAACCACCAGCTGATTACAAGTGAGTTCTCTTTTTTAGTTTATAATGTCACACTATTGAAGAATACATTCCTTAGAGCAAAAACATTTTCAGCAAAAATAATGAAGAACAGAAGCACAAATGTGGACAAGAAGTGAACAATGTTTGAAAATTTTAGATACATAATGAACTCGTGGAAACTTACAAGAATGTTACTTATTGTGACTGATATGTGATACAACTAAATCTTAAATGCAAGAATGGAGCAAGGGGGCGAAGCTGCCAATCATGCAAAACTTAAACAATCGATATCTTCGGAACGATTAGAGTGTAATTGTTGCGGTTTTCGTTTAAGAAGTCAAAAAATATTCTCTACAAGAGTATACATGAGGACCTTTCCGACCAAACGGCTTATACATGTATGAGCTGTTTGCTTGGAAATTCGCAATAAAGATAACTCTTGTCTCTTGAATAAGGTACCATTTGATTCTCATGTTAATAGCTGCAAAAGATCTACAGTATGCTTTTTTGATGACCAAAGATTGATCTATCAGTACATTCCGAGCAAACAGCATATACAAATATCATGCCTTTGCTCTGAAATCCGTTTATGATGCATCATACCAAGGTATGTAATGAACAGTTTACAAAACAAGTTTTGTTTTTGTTACATATGCTAAGGGTATATCAGGGAATTAGGAAAAGGGATAGAAGAATAAAGTGCCCCTACACCAACTTCACGTCCAGTTGACTGAGCCATGGAAAACGAACCAAGGGAACAATCAGGACAGAATAGTTAAGTAAGGATTTGAGAGGTTGTAGGGAAGACTAGTGGGAGAAGAGTGGAGGGTGATGATTGAAAATCGTCGTAAGGATAGGTTATTGGTAGTTAAGAAATTATTGATAATTTCATTCCTAGATAGGGATGGTTTCAAGTGAAGAAGCGATGTTGTAGAGAGGGAAATATTTTAATCTTATTAAGTCTTGGATCATTTTGTTTAAGTCATTTTGCTTTTAGTTTTTCACATTGGAAGAGGATATGGTTTAGGTCATCCAGTAGACCACATTCGCACATATCTGTACATTTTAGGTTTAATCGCTTTAGGTGGGAAGTGAATAATCCTTGATCTATTCTCATTCTTATTACAGGGTGTCTACGAGTCCGTAAAGTCCGGAAAAAGTACGCATTTTTTTAGGTCGGTCCGTTAGTACTTAAAAAGTACGTAAGTTTCGTGGAAGACCCGTAATTTTTCGCATTTTGCGCCATGCGTTCAGTTCGATCGCCTGATACCAGTTATGCAATCTGGGTGCGTTGTCCGTGCTAAACCAACCGAGAATAAGACCTGGTATGGGTGGGCCGGGACACCCTGTATAACGAAGTATGAAAAAATATTTATTGGAGAGGAACGGTGGGGGGAGAAGAAAATATTGATAATTACAGCCGACAGCATGAATATAAGGCCCTAGCAGTGAAACAACCTCTGCCTTGCCTGCGCGGGATGGAGTGCCGCCGATATGCCGCCCGAGCGTAAGCGGAAACGCGCAGAAAAATCGCTTTAACTCATGAACGAATCGTTTCCCCACGGTCACACCTAGTGTGGTAGTTGCAGAATTTCATGGAGAATCACCTCATCAGGTTTTTTTTCACGTAGCAACGATTGCCTGGAGAGGAGAGACGAAAAACGAAAAAAGTCGAACCTTCAAAATCGATAAAATCGATTTATGAGTACGATAAATTCGGCAATCGTGCAAACAGCATTTATATTCTTGTAGAGAATATTTTTTAACGTTTTTTAGCGCAAACCGCAACACTTAACCTCAAACCGTTCGCGAGATATCGATTTTTAAAGTTTTGGAAAAATTGCAACTTTGCCCCCTGCCCCCTCCCCCCTAATTATCCGAGGGGGCTGAAATTTTGCCCGAGCATCGAGGACACTTACTACAACATCTGAGCAAAGTTTGGGCCAAATCCAGGGGAGGGCCAAAATCGGCGTTTTTGGAACATCCTCTTTACGAAACTAAGGATTTTTGGTAAATTTTTTTTTACTTTTTGGCCTTTCTAAGTACAGAAACTCCAATCTGAATTCCATTCAGTGAACATTCCATTCTTTATCAACGGTATCAATTGTTTGTGATGAAGTTTGTTTTTAATTTTATCGGCTAGCGGGAGGATTTTTGTTAAAGCATCTGCTCTTTCATTGCCCGGGATGCCGACATGGCTAGGTATCCAGAGTAGGTGGATATTGGTATGTTGATTATTGAATAGTAGGCTCTTTATGCCCATTAAAGTAGGATGCAAATCATCATTTCGGTTTATAAGGGTTGTTAGGACACTTTTAGAGTCTGAACATATAAGAGGATTTTTGAAATTATTCCTAATGATGTAGTTGAGAGCTTCTTCTATGGCTACAGCTTCAACCTCAAAAATTGAGAAATATTCCTAGAGTCTAAATTATTTGAGAAAATCATTCAATGTAAAGACAGAAGTTACATTTGTCTCCGTTTTGGCCCCCAACAGTGTAGACTATTGACCTGCTCATGGAATTCGTTGAGAATTAGAGATTGAGTAGCTTAATCAGTTTTCTTAATTTGTAGATAGTCAACAGATGGTTGGAAGTATTGAAATTTAGATTTGTGAGGTATTGAAGGTGGTAAGCTAACTTCAGCAATCTCATTCTTGTAAGTTGTTTGTTTAATCCATCTATGGATAATAAAAGGGTATTTTTTATTTGACCACCATTTGTGAGAGAATTTTCTAGAAGTTTTAAATCATTAATGATGGAATTTTTATCAAAGCTCATAGCTTTAATTATTTATTTAGCAGTAAGGTAATATTAAACATATGTTGAATNGGGGGGGGGGGGGGGGGATAGCTGCTTCTGCGTTTAAGTTATTAGGCGGGGTGGAGCATAATATACTAAGGACTTCCCTAATACCCTAATTTTTTAATTTATTGACTTTTTCTAAGATGTCATAGTTATTACAGTAAATTGAGATACTGTAGTCAATAATTGGTCTAATCATATTGAGGTAGAGAAACCTTGAGACATTTTGGTTGATACCCAAAGACACTCCATCAAGGTAAAAAAGGATGTTTAGTTTCGTTTCTACTTTGTCATCAATATAATTGAAATGAACATGCCATTTCATTTTGTTGTTAAAGATCAGCCCTGAGTATTTAGCATTGATAGAGACAGAGATGTTCTTTTCATTTAGTTCGATCGTATAGTCAGGAGGGATTCTTCGATTGGTAAATATTATGACTCAAATTTTTTTCCTAGCAAAGTCAAGATGTAATTCTTTGATTTCAGTTTGTAGATTTTGGAAATCTCTTATAACAGCTTCACCCGCTGATTCTAGGCATTTGTTTTGAGAGAAAATATTGACTTCATCAGCGAGTTCTGATATTCTGCGAATTCAGGCTGTTCAAAGTTAATATTTTATGTAGTTCAGTGGAGTATATAAGATACAGCAACGGACTTAAGATGCCCCCTTGAGTAAGGCCGTCGGGTACACAGTGAGGGTCTGACGGATATACATTATGTTATTAGATATTAGATTCAGAATGATTTTTGCGAAATCCGGGTTTACTCCTTTAGACTAGAGTTTTCGCAAGTAAAATATCGTAATTTACATTATTATACGCATTTTCAATATCAAGGAAAATAGTAGGCTTGTATTTTTTTTTCCTATAGCTTTGTATGCATATGGGTGGAAAATAAAGAGAATGTAAAAGCAGTCCGAAACGGAAACGAGAATCGAAAACACAGGAAAATGCGGAAACAAGGCTAAAATACAAAATACAAAGGCAGGACGTTTCAGTACCTTGCGGCACCATTATCAACTGCTAAAATAGAATTAAAAATAAAAAAGAAATTAAAATAAAAACCAGCAAACGGCGTTACATAGTGAAATTGGTAAAAAAGAATAGTCAGTGGAGTGCTCAGCAGTGGATTTTTTTACCAATTTCACTATGTAACGCCGTTTGCTGGTTTTTATTTTAATTTCTTTTTTATTTTTAATTCTATTTTAGCAGTTGATAATGGTGCCATAAGGTACCGAAACGTCCTGCCTTTGTATTTTGTATTTTAGCCTTGTTTCCGCATTTTCCTGTGTTTTCGATTATGCATATGAGCTTAGTTGAATCAAGTTATGGTAGATATTTTTGCCGTTACGAAATGCAAATTGAAATGGGGAGAACTTATTATTTGATTCGAAGAAGTCCTCTAGTATGTTAATTAGTATCCTCTCAACTATGTTTCTCATGGCAGATATAATCCCAATTGGTCGATAGGATCCTGCAGTGTTAGGGTTTTGATCTCTTTTTAGCTGTGTGATTGTTAGGATATTTTTCCAGGTCTCAGGGATTGTTTTTGATATTAGTATATCATGAAAGATTGTACAAGTATGTTGTTTTATCCATAAAGGTATTTTATCCATACGTGGACTTTTCTTTTTACTTTGTTCAGGGCAAGTTTTAATTTTTTGAGTGAGATTTTTTCCCATGATTCATTGAAAGTAGGAGGATTGCTCCATTGTTTAGCATATTGTGAATCAGGAGTGAGGTTAAGAAGAAAGTCCTCAATCCAATCATCATTGACGTGTGGGATCAGCAGGCCGATTATTTTCGAGTCGATATCCGAATCGTTTCGTTAAAAGTTGTGTTATCGCCATGATCAAGAACAGAGTGATTATTTTCGCCGCGTCAATCGATAAACGCCTCTAATCTCGTCGATAAGTAAAGGGTGCCCTGGAGCGGTCGTTTTCCTATCGATTCGTTGCATTCGATGCAAACCTAACATAAAAATCGAGTTGTTTACCTGTAGTGATCTAGTGTTTCCACATTTTTTGTACTTTCTTAGTTCCTTCTACTTCTTTTTTGTCATTATTATGGCACATAGGGTGATCCAGACCACTCGTCTACTATCTTTTTCTCGAAAACGGCGGAGAATTGAGCTTCGGGACAAAAACTTTCATAGGGTTAATCGACCCCAAAGAATCGAATGAATATATTTTCAGCCCCCCAAAATGGCCTCTTAAGG